GCTGACAGAGAAAGAAGACAGATGCACACAAACCCGTTACAATGGTCCGCGATGGTGGAAGAAGTGGTTCGAAGAAAGTGTCTCAGTCCGTATAGAGTCTCATCACAGGGGTCCTCTTTGGGTGGAGCGGGGTTGTCTGTTGCTGAAGAATCCTCTCAAAGTGAAGGTCCATCTGGTACGGGGGGGGTGTTGTTCAGGTGGTCCCCTCTGGGTCTGGTCCAGCGGCAGTTCATCTGGTGGGGTCGGAGTACTGGCGGTGGCCCATGATGCATTCCACGTAGATGTCACAGGACCAACGGATGGTGTTGGACACCATGAGGCAGTGCATCAGCTTGGTGTAGTGGCAGGCACGCGGAACGCTCTCGTTGCTGGGGTCCCAGGCTCCGAGCGTTCCCACGATGAGAGCATCAATTGTCGCGTCGTAGCCACGGCCCCTCAGGATGTCGGCCAGCGGAGTGTACTTCTCCCGCTTGCGAGCCCGGGCGTCGATGAAGGCTTGGCGCCAGTTCTTGAAGGGGATGGTTACGTCCACGATCACAACCTTCTTGGCCTCTTCTTCGTTTGATCTACATCTAGCAATAAAATTATCCAACCAAGCTTAACCATAGGGAGGTGGATAGCTGTGTTATTCTGAAGTGTGTTCTCTCTCTTCCTCTCTCTCTCACTCACACTCACACAGTTGTGGTAGATGCACTTAAAAAATTAGACAATGTATATAATATACAGTGGAATAGTTCCTAGTTTCTGTACAAAAAGTGCACACACTCTTCTTGCTTAGCAAATATTGAATAGTTCTGTGCTGTAGTGAGTTCTCATATTACGCTGTACTCCATGTGCAAAGCCTTGATTTGAACAGAGGCTATGCTCTTATCCAAATTTAATGTAAGCAGTGCTCTTGAAGTGCACAGTTCTGGCAGTGCTATGGTATTGGCAGCTTCAAAGCTGGCCTGAAACTAATTATTAGGAGCATTGAAAATGTGGGGAGCTAGTAAGTTTGGGGTTACTAATGTGACAATACTGTGTGCTTAAGGATTGCTTCTAGTGCCTGTGGTATTAGCCCCCAAACTGGCTAGCTCCCATGATCTTCAAGACTTCTGTTTTTGTTTTGGACTGCTGTTGGAAGACTTGAAAATAACAAAAGCTAGTTAGTTTCCAGAATACTATTAGCAGCTTTGAAAAGGATGGGAACTAGCTAGTTTAAGGCTGCTGTTAAAGGCCTTGCAGATGAGGGGGGAGAGCAGTTGTGAAGCTGAGAGTAGCTGCTGTCATTTTTCAGGCTTTTATGTGCACCCTTTAACAGTTGCTTCCCTTTCACTGTTTTTTGGGCAGTTAAGGGATATGCAGTACAGTTAGTCACAAAATAGACTTTGTACCCAAGTTGTGTACTTAGTCGCTATGCTGATAACTGGTTTGTTACAATGACAAACAATAGGCAACAAATTGGGTCCTTAGTGTTATGCAGTTAAGCGGATTGTGCGCTTATCCAGTACGCACGTGAATAGAGCGTGCTGTACAAAAATGGTATACACAAAATATGCCCAGGGCATGCTTACTGTTTGCTATGATGATAAAACAAAATTACACTTGTTAAAGGAATGTGGTGGTGCAGCGCCTTTGCTTTATTGTTGTCCTGTTGTTTGCAATGGATCCCTGGATAGTCATACAAATTAGTGAGGGTTATCGTACATAAAATGAGGCATCCACAACACGTTACTGAGTCACAGCATTGCACAAACACTAACTGATTTTGTGGGCCAGAGTAGACTATATAATTTGTTAGTAACTGCAACGGCCTTCTTTCAATAAAGGGCGTGATTTATGGAGGTGTAACAAATTATGCATCAAAGCTTGGCCCATTGGTGATGTCAAAGTAAAAGCAAGTATATTTACACTCCAAGATCTGGGCTTTTCTTTAAGAAAATGGGCTTTGAGCTGTTAGAGTTAGGAACCCCTTCCCCCTCAACAAACAACTTCCCCCTAATTCCCCCCACCTTTGCAAACTAGGTATAAACCAATCTAGCTTCATGGTGACATATGTGCGGGCTGGGAGCGATCTGGGGCCCTTTTTTTGCGCCGCGGGCTGTGGCTAGCAGCCCGGGCACGCTGGGTCGGAGAAAACAGGCGGCATGCTAGAATTAGTCACGGACACGTAATGGTTGATTTAAGATTATTTTACTTACACCGAAGATGGTCGCGGTGCAGGCAGGAAAACTTGCTTGAGTTGCGGTTACAGATAGAAAAGATGAGAGGTGGACTAGAGTTCCTTCCCGTGAACACTCTTCTAGCCCATCCGGTTGGAGGCTCTAAACCGCGAACCCGTTGCGCCAACTGAAGAAAGTACTCGAACCAAAGAGCTCTGAATAGACTCACACGAAGTTTGCTAGGCTCCATGGAACTTGCGCGCAGGGATTCGAAGTGAAGAGCTCTGAATAGACTCACACGAAATTTGCTAGGCTCCGTGGATGTTTTCGTGCACAGGGAAGAGGGATACGTCGAGGATTGCACTCGGTGACGGGGAGAGGCTAGAGGCTGATCAGACCCCTGTTGCCTGCTTTAAATGCGCTGGGTCCAATAGGCTCCGCAGTGCTTAGAGATCTTCACAAGACGTGAAGTCTCCTTCTCCTGGTGTGGGTGGAAACCACTCAAGCCTCTTATACGCTAGCAAGCCAATCGCTAGCCGCCACGTAGGAATAATTTAGAACTAGCCAATGGTGGGGCACAAATTTGAATACGAATGGCGGGAACTCCTTGCAACGTGCATTTCTGTGCTGCAACAAAGAAATGCACCCTGCAAAGAAAGCTACTGGTGGTGGGAATTCTTTTGCACCGTGGTTTTCCTCTGCAGCAGAAAACTCCACCGTGCAAAGAAGCTGCAATTTAGCGGGAACAATTTAGCAGTGCCGAAGCACTCACAAAACAAAAATCACACCCTTGGGTTGTGACAACATAGACAGCATGAAATAGCTCAGAGAGATGCTAACTGCTCCATTCACCTCAGTCAGGGCCCTATGGTTTTGGCAGTTCAACAGCCATGAAGTTTGGCTTCTTTCCAAGGAGCCATTGAACTCTCCATTTTGCTGCAGCTAGGCACCTGACATTTTGTCTTCTGCCTCCCTGCCTTGGTGGGATGGGCCTGTCCGCAGATGCCTTTTGCTCTTCAGCTTTCTTCACAAAGGGAGTTAATTGGATTGCAGTACATACTCCCTGCATCATTTTATCGAACCAGGCAGTAGAGAATGGGAGAGCTGAAGCTGGTGTTTGGTTTGCAATTGTGAAGTGGGAGAACGCAGAAAGCTGGAAGGCTAGGTAGCCTGAAGAGTAGTGCAGCAACAGATGCACAGCAAATTGGGGAGACAAGCCAGCTACAAGCTTCCCTTACTTCAGCAGCATATTTGGGCAAGGAGGTCCTCGATTGGGTCTCCTGGACAACATTGTGTGAGCAAAAGCCAGAGGAATAAAAGCAGACAAAAAGAAATAGTGAAAAATAATTATAGATGCATTTTATTTCAGTGAGTATTCTTTAGCTGTTGTCCATCACTGTGTGTGTGTTTATGTGAAGGCAGGTATGTGGAGAAGGAAGGCTGTCGTTTTGGTGGAACTTGATTCTCTTGTGGCATAAAGAATATATGATCATTGGGCATAAGGCAGTTTGTCTGATAAAGTGGCTTGGAGGCATTTGGTACCCTTGTTGGTTTTATTCTGGAGAAGCTAGGAAAGGAACATATTGATGAGGAAAGGTAGTCCAGCGCTTACTGCACTACGTGGAAACATAGCAGATCAGCATTGAGCTTCTGGTTTTGCCACAGGCGTGTGTGCTTTCTCACTGTCTCATTGGGCAAATTGATCTCTGTGCCTTATTCCAGTTGCATAGATGAGAACTTAACACAGCTCACAGAGTGGTGTGAATATTAAATACAATAAATATTTTGAAGTGCTCAGGTATTATAGTGATGGGGTCCAGGTATATATTTGAGAGAGAATAATGGAGAAGGGCTGGGAAGGAGCTCTGTAACCTCCTGTTCTTATTATGAAGGAAAAGCTGGTGTTAATTGCATATTTCTGCTTTGATATTGCATTCATCTCATCAGGTATAATCAGTAACCCAGGTCAGTGTAACTTTTGTGATAGGTGGAAGGCCTTATAAAATGGATGGGTATCTGATAAGCAGCAGTTGGTTCAGATGCGAACTCATTGCCAGGCTGCTATTTGATCCTCAGTTCAGGTTGTTTTGATGACTGTGACTGGGGTTCATTTAGTTAAATTGGGGCTGTTGGAAACTGGAGGTGCAAGCAAGCACGTGCAATGCTGCGCTTCATTTTAAGCTGCTAAGGGCAGAGCTTGTCACCTTGGGAAAAGAGCAGATTTATTTAATTTCTGATGATGCCTTTCATTTCCACAATGACAGATTTGTCTTCTCTCCTCTATAGATGCCCAGTGTTTAGGGATCACCTGGCTGGCAATGCTTATGATACTGCAGGCACCTACTGGGGAATACATTTCAACAAGCACCAGCGAATTGGCAGTTGTGTCTTGGTACTTGTAAGGAGTCCTTGTCACATTAGATACCGATGTGATAAGTATGTTATGAGTATGGTGGGACATCGTAGGCATGCGCTTTATGTGGCAGTTAATATTTCATATTGCCAGCTTCTGCCTGATTTGAAATCTTCAGGGGCTCCAGGCTGTTTGCTGCGAGAGGAAATCAGACTTCAGAGCAGGGAAGCCATTCCTGGTGCGGTCCTCAGGTTGATTCTGTTTTCTTGGATTAGTCTGCATGCACCACGTGCCCAGATGTGCAAGTATCTCTCCCCAACCCCACACGCGCTGTGGAGAGGGCTCCCAGGCTCCAAAAGGCCTCTGTGTCTCTGAATTGGACATGTCAGCCAGGCAGGGAGGAGGGGGAGTGAAGGAGGAGGAGGAGGCGGGCCTTAGCTCTGATTAATTACCTTAGGCATTTGGAGGTGGGGCTTCCATCAGCCATCTGGCTGAGATATGGGAGGGAGTTGGAGGGAGGAGGAGGCAGGGGGGGAGAGAGAGACAGCCAGAGAGGAAGAGAAAAGAAAGGAAGAAACACTAGAGAAGAAAGGGAGGAAAGGGGATAAAGGGGACAACCCCACCACCTCGAAAGAGCCAGGCAAGGGGCTGGGTGCAGAGAGAATCTCCCAGGAGGTTTCTACCACGTCTGCCTTGAAGAGTTTTTTCCTCCTCCTAGTCTACCCTGGTTTGGTTTATGGAGAAAAAGAAAATGGTAACTCAGGTAAGGTCTGGGTTCCCTGCTGCTGCGCGCTGTCTCCTGTCCTTCCCTCCCCTCCCTCTCCCCACGCCACTCCAGATAGCAGGGTTTGGAGGGGCTTCTTGCAATGCCCTTGCCTTGCCCGCTGGAAAAAAAAAGAAGAAGCTGGTTTTAGTGATCTGAGCTGCAGGAAGATTGCTCTGCATGGGGTGTACGGACATGTGTGTCTGTGTGTGTGTGTGTGTGTGTGTGTGTGTGGCCACCCCCTATCCCCTTTCCTTTTGCTCCATAGCAAATTCCTGTTTCCTGTGCTGTGCAGCTGCAGCTCAGGAAAGACCCTGTGGGGATTTGTCTACCTCTTTGTCTTAGTGTTGAGAGGGAGGGAGAGCGGGACTGCAGAGGTACAGAGGGATTCTCGCAGCACTGCCATGAAATGAGGCTTCTCTCTCCAGGATCACAGTGGGATTTGTAGGAGAAGGTTACCAGGGGACTGGACCACAGTTCTCTTTTATTTCTCCTTTTTTGGCTTTAGAGCTGGCATTTAACTCT